TCATTCAAGCAGCTTGTTTGGCCTGTACTGATAGAAACATGAGGAATAACACTTTCCCAGCTGTGGGTAGTGAGGACAAGGACATGTTTGCAGACTTGTGCTGAGTTTCTCTCTGGGAGTTGGCTGCTGCTTTCCCAGACAACACATGCTCGCTGTGGGCTGGGATGGATTTAGTTGCAGCAGCTGCCTGGAGATTCTCACAGTTCCCTGCTGCTGGAGTTCTATCCCATTCCTGTCCTGCACCCAGCCAGCACAGCCTGCAGTGCCTGGATGCTCTGATGTTGTAAATAAAATGTGCAGGCTGAGCCAGTGTCTGAGAAATCCAACCCAGCCCAGGCACGTCAGGCACCAACCAAAGCCACTTCCAGCTACGTGAAGCAAAAACTGGGTTTAACCTCAGCAACAAGTGCTAAGAAATAAACAAACCCCAAGCTTTTCACTGTTCCTCGTTTTTCCAGAAACTTTTTTATTCTTTGAGTTTTTCTCTCCTAAGTTCCCAGCACAGGGAGCTGAAGAACTCAACCATTCCCTTACCTGACAAGAGCCAGGAACTGCTCCCGACTGCACGGAGACCAGGTGAGGTCGATGCTGTTGTGGTTTCCTGCTGAGCCCATGATGTAACCACTGCTGCTGCACACATTCCCCTCTCCATCGTGGGCAATGCCAAGGCTGTAAAGAAGCAGCACAGAGCCCTGAGAAGAGGAAACCCAGAGGCTGGAGCCTCCCTTCTCTAAGCAAGGACTGAGCTCCCTCTGCAGCCCTTCCTTCTTCTGTTGTCACACAGAGTTTCTCTCCTCTTTGCAGCTTCCAATTGTCACAGGACATGCAGGAATGCAAGAAATTCAAGGAACTCTTTCCGAAATAATCCATGATGATGACCAAAAGGGTTAGAATAATCCATGGGGAATTCCCTTTTATGTCAAGAGGTCCTTTGGCTTCTTTCCTTAAGCTGGAGGATGTTTTCACCTGAATAAAACCTGCTGGGCTGCTCTGGCAGTTTCCTACTGACCTGTGCCCAATCTCATGGGCTATGGTGACTCCAAGGTCAAAGCCAGTGTCCTGGGTAATGACACAGCTCCAGAAGGAGGAGCAGACTCCCCCTAACTGAGTCACTCCACGAAGCTCCTTGTTCCCATCAGGCAACTCCAGGTCAAACCTAAAGAGGAAAGAGGAAAGAACACCCCACAGCTAAAAGAGCCAGGTCTAGACATCCAGCTGGATTTATCTGAGCCTTGCCAGCTATCTAACATTTCTTTTGACACAAAGACATTTTGACATTTCTTTTGAGCCCACTGCTCAAATTTTATGATGATTCCACATTAAAAAATCCAAACATCCTCAGACAAGCAGAACTGAATAAAACAACCTAACCCTATTTCCCAGTCCCTCCCAGGGCAGGGAGCTCAGCACCTGGTGATGTAGAGGACAATGTCAGCGTGCTGGGGGTCAGAGTCGTTCTGGGGGTTCACCTTCTTGCTCCACTCACAGACACTGATGAGGGAGGAGGTGATGTTGGTGGTGATGTTCACCTCTGCCTGCAGGGAAGGCACACGTTGGCACGTTCCAAACAGCCTGGAGCTCGGGCAAGCCTCAAACACAGCCCTCCCCTTACCTCTGGCTCTCTCAAAACCAGCATCTGCATGAGGTGAACTCTGAAATGAGCCCCCAGTGAGGCATCTCTGAGCAGCTCTGCTCCCTGAGAAGAGACAGAAAGGATTCAATAAACAAGGGGCCTTGGGGACTCCCACTCCCTGTTCCCAAAAACTGGGCTGCACTCATTACAAAGGTAACTACAACACTAACATATGCACTAAAAATGTGAATAAATCTGTCAAGAGTTGAGAAGTGGTTGGATCTGTCAGATACTCTGAAACAGAGAGAAGAATCTGCATGAAAAGTTTCATAGGGTAGAGTGAATGCTACAGGCTTTTCTGCAGTACACACACACAGAAAAATTCTTAATAATAGCAAAAAGAGAAATGAAAATTCTGCAATAGAAATAAAACAGTGAAATGTAAAATATAAGACTGATTCAGTGGATTTAACTCAATCCCACTGAAAGCAACAGGGTGAGAAAACTCTACCTGTGTTGTAACATGAGTAATGAAATGAAGAGCTACATTTTCTATGTGGGTTTTAAATCCTCTAAGATCTTCTTTTACTCCTTGTACATGGGAATTTGGGGGATTTCATGCTCAGGGAAGCACAGAGGAATGCCCTGCACATGTGCTCTGTACCAGGACCCCAAGCCCAGAGGCACTCACAGTGTTCAGGTTGGCCAGGACGTAACGCTCCGTGTCCTCTTTGTGGTACAAGTAAACATCTGGCCCTGCCACCACCATCAGCTCCAGGTGTTTGACAGCTGCCTCAGCCCTCTTGTGCAGGCGAGGAGGAGCCCACCCTGCTGGACAGCACAGAGGGACACCAGGAGGTTCAAATGCACCACAAAAGGTCCTACAGATCCACTCCCTCTCCCCAAAGGCTGCAATAACTCAGCTGCAAGTCCACTCCTCCTTGCTTTCCCACTTCTGGTGGTGTCTTTCACCTGGCAGCAGCTTTAGCAGCACACCTGTGCTATCAAAATAGCAAGCAGCCACATCAGACACGCTGGGCACACCTCAGCGAGGTGAGGAACCTTTTCAGGTCTGCTCCTGTATTTGTAAACACCAATTTTTCCTCTGAGCTCATGGAAGCAATGCTCCAGGAGACAGCTTTTCCAGCAGGGCTGTTACCTCTGGCTGGTTTTGCCTCTCCTGCAGCACTTTTGAAGAGGATGTGGGGGCTGGAGAAGCCGAGGTCCTTCAGCAGAGCCACATCTTTGCTCCTGACTGGCCTGATGTGAATCTTCTCCTCGCCCACGGTGACCACTCCTTGCTGAAGCAGATAAAATTCCACCTCTGAGTTACTCCAAAGACGTTTGCTATCCATGGGGATGGCAAGGATTTATTCAGTGGGTGGTTCACACAGTTTGGTGCAGGAAGCTGCCACCCCAGAGGCTGTTCCTGCTTATACTCACCAGCTGCCCTTCACAGTAAGTGACTCTGCTCCTGGCCCCAGGAGGCCGCAGGGATTTTCCACCTGCAAAGCAGCTCCCTGGGAATCTCTTCAGTAAAACAAAGGAAGAGTTCACCACCTGGCTGCTCACAAAGGAGGAGGACAGGAGGGCATGGTCCTCGAGGAATTGAAAGGCATAGAGCTGCCCCCAGGCCTGGATGGAGCAGTGCTGGACCCGACAGGGCCTCAGCCCAAAATGTTCTTCTTGACAAGGGCAAGCTGGCTCAGCCACAACAAACTCAGGTACTGAAAGAAATGAAACAAGACCAGAACAAGGGGAGCTGTTATGAGAAAGGCTGATACACAAAAACCCACTGTAAGGCCTATTTCCCCAGGAAAAATTTCCCTACAAAGGTCAACTGTGGCATCTTGGGGTCATGGTGCCAACAGCCAGAGAATTTCTGTGTTTTTGTGCATTCCAAAGTGAGGATAATCTGACTGGGAACAGAAACTGGCACTGAATTTATTACAGCTTCTCCTCTCCCAATAAGGAGAACAGTCCATCTAAAAAAGGCTGAGACAGTTTTGTTCCTGCAGATTTTAATTATTTCTGAGTGGGAATTATCACAATGCAGACAAAGACACTGGGATGAGCACTAGGTGAACTCACAAGGAGACAACACCCTTCCATTAGGGATTTGAGACTTCAAAACATCTTTATTCTGAATTATCATCAATCCAGACCCAGAATTCAAATCTCTTTGTGCATTTATTAATCATAATAATTAACAAGTATTTAAAGTTACCCTTAGTCTAAAGCTTTTATCAGAAGAAAAGCACCAATACAGAGAATGGGGACTGAGCAGAAATGTGCAAAGAGGTCGAGCACATTTCCTTGAGCAGATCTGAAGCTCTGACACATCCCTCCATCCACTCACACTGAAACCCACATTGTCTCGCTTGCACTGGGACTCAGAAACACCAAATGCTGGTCATTTCAGGGGTTGTTAATCAGGGGCTGTTAATCAGGGGTTGTTAATCAGTGTTCTCTGCCCTGTCAGCCGCACAGGGTGAGAAAGCAGCGGCCAGGTGTGCTCTGAACCGAGGGGCACTGAGCCCTGCGTACCATCAGCCACTGAGCTGGTTCCAAAGTAAGACAGAACATCTCCCGCATCCAAAGCGCCCACCAATTTCTGCAAGAAGAAGAAGAAGAAGAGGAAGAGCAAAACCAAATGGACAGGAGGCTCTCCCTTCGCTGGAGCCGGGCTGGAAGGAACGCCAGCCAACAGCCCAGCCGCCCCAGCGCCAAACCCTCACGGCTTCGCTGCACGAGGGAGAGAACAGATTATCTTCCTGATTAGCGACCTCGGACGGAGTTTGGCTTAGAACCGCGTCGTCTCCTCTTCTTTTTCTTTTTTTAAATTTTTTTTAGCTTTTCTTAGAAGGCCGGCAGCGTTCCTGGAAGGGCCGGTGCGAGGTCAGACTCACCTCAGGGAGCCAGCACAGCCCCAGCGGGAGCACGGCGAGCGCCCGCAGCGCCAAGCTGACGGTCATGCCGGACGAGCCGAGCTCTCCGAGCCGAGCACCGAGAGCTTTCGGCCCAAAGCATCACGTGGAGCGGAAGGGAAGAGCAAAAGCAGCCTTTGAGCAAACAGCCTCTGAGCAAACACGCTCCGAGCGGGCCCGAGGGGGACGCGGCCGCGCCGGCAGCTGGAGCGCGGCCGCCCTTGCGCAATGGCCGCGGCTTCTCCAGCTTGTGCGCCAGCCCCGCGGGCCAAGGGTCGGCTCGGGGGCCGTGTGGCCCTGGGGACACACCCGATTGGGGTGGGGGTCCCCACGCGACCCCCAGGCCCGGAACCATGGAACCGCCCCTTCCACCCCGGAACCCAAGCGCGGGCCGGCGTGCCCCGCCGGGGCGGTGCGGCGCTGTGCCGGTCCCCCTGCAGTAGCGCCGGCCCTGTTGGGCAAGGCTGCCCCCTGATCCCGATCCCGATCCCGGTCTTGGTCCCGGTCCCACCCCGCTGACCCCCGCATGGCCAAGCAGAGCCCTGCGGAGCCGCAGGCGGCGGGGCCGAGCGGCGCGGCCCGCGGGAAGAGCAAGAAGAGGAGGAAGAAGAGGAAGGCCCTCGGGAAAGCGGCGGCCGCGCCCGGCATGGCGGCCGTGGGTCCCCCCCGCAACCCGCAGGAGTTCTCCTCCAACTGGAAGGCGCTGCAGGAGGTGAGGGGCACCGGGGGATGCGGTGGGGACAGCCCCGGGGTGCCGGCACGGGGAAGCAGCGGGGCCGTGCTGGCGGGGCCGGGATGCAGCTCCGCGGCGGCAGGGACAGCTCGCACTGTCCCAGCAAAGCCCGGCCGTGAGCACTGCCAGGGATCCAGGGACAGCCTCAGCTGCTCTGGGCACCCCGTGCCAGGGCCTGCCCACCCTCACAGGGAAGAATTTCTTCCCAAAATCCATCTAGCACTGCTTGATGTCATTCCATTGTCCTGGCACTCCAGGCTCTCGTGAATAATCCCTCTCCCCCTTTCCTGAAGGCTCCTTTTAGGTACTGGGAGGACACAATTAGGTCACTCTTAAGCCTTCTCTTTTTCAGGCTCTTTTCCTTTATCTTTCTTTTTCTTTCTTTTTTTTTATGTCATTTTAGCTGCTGAAACAAAAGGCAAATAACTCCAAGAAGCCCATTTCCACAGATCAAACAGACACCACAAAGAAGCAGCCACTCAAAGCAGCCAAAGGCCCAGAAGTCCCAGCAGTCAATGGGAATGGGAATGTGGTAAAGGCCAAATCCACAAATAAAATGGACAGTGGTGCTGCTAAAGCCAGTCCTCCTCTGGCCAAGCCAGAATCCAAGGGGGTTACAGCAAGTAAGAACTTAAATGGCACCAAAAGCAATGGGAAAGGCTGCAAAGAAAAGAAGAAAAATGGCATTGTTGTGAAGGAGAAGGATGAGCTGAAACATAAGAGGAGGAAAGCTGAGGAACACGTGGAGCAGCAGCCCAAGGAGTGAGTATTTCAGGCAGCAGCTCTGGATGGGAACATTTATTTTGGGAGGAGCACACAGAGGTACATTCCAAACAGCTGCACTTTTCCAGACTAAATTCTGAAAGAAATAAGGAACATTTTGCCCCAACTCCTCAGACACAGCAAGAAACCTGCAGGGTTTATCTCTTGCTTTATAAAAGTCACAGGGTTTATCTCTTGGTTTAAAAACTAAACATACTTTTTGTACAACAGACATCAGATTGCTTTGAGACTGTTAAATGTAATTAAATCTGTTCTTCCCAGGGCTGACATCTGGTTTGATGACGTTGATCCCAAAGATATTGAAGCAGCACTAGGACCTGAAGCAGCAAAAATTGCCAGAAGGAACCTGGGACTTGAAACAGTGCAATGCCAGTCTGTGGAGCAGGTGCTGGTTAAGGAAAAGGCTTTTGATGGGTGAGTGACACTGCAGGGGGAGGGATGGCATCAGTGTGAGAAATGGGAAGACAGAAACTTCCAGAGACACTGAAAGGTTTGATCTGCAGCCTCAGAAGAAGCTTAGATTGATGTAAAAATAAAGTACACAGACATTAAGCAGAAAAATAATAAACACATGTTTATAGTTGTAAGAGTATACCTCAAATAAGTAAAAAACTGTATTAATAAGATAGTGAAGGGTTTATAATGTAAGAGTGTAATTGTATAGAGGAAGCTAAGAGTTTAGAAGTCACAATAGAAACGTGTGTGTGCATGCATGTTATAATAGCCCATTAGATAAAAATATACACATTGCAGTAGAAATAAGTAATAGAAAAGCAAAAGAAACTTTGTAGCAACTGTCCATTAGATTACAATGTTATAAATTGTCTTGTAACAAAGAACTTCTAACTGCTCTTGAGCTATAACCAACTACTTACTCTCACAAATCTCACAGCCCCTGAGACTGATGTTTATGTGAACAATAAGTTGTTTTTAGCCTGACTGCAGTCCCATCCCTTCAATTAAACAACAATAACAATATCAGAGCTCTCAGAGTGGCTTCTGCCAAGTGACCTGCACAGTGAGCTGCCATCCCCCTGCCCCTGCTGCCAGGCTCTGCCCTGCTCACAGCAAGGTGTGAGCCTTGCCAGCTCCAGCTGGGCCCTCCCAGGTGTCCCCAAGTGTCCCTTTGCCTTTCAGGCTGACCCGGGCCGTGGCCATGGACTGTGAGATGGTGGGGGTGGGCCCCAAGGGCGAGGACAGCATCTTGGCTCGGGTGTCCATCGTCAACCAGTTTGGGAAGTGTGTCTATGACAAGTATGTCAAGCCCACGGAGAAGGTGACAGACTACAGGACAGCTGTCAGTGGCATCCGGCCTCAGAATATAAACTCAGGTACCAGGGATTCCCCCAAAGAGGGAGAAGTCAGAAGCCTCATTGGCTGAGCTTGGAATGGTTTGAGACCTAATTTGGGAAAACAAAATGCTGAGAATTCAGTTAAAATTAATGCTAAGAAAAATTGTGGGAAGAAGTGCTTTTATACAGTGATCACTGACACCTTTGAAGGAATTAACTGCTGGAATATGGTATAAAAAAATAATTTCCTTTTCATGCTGTGCTCTTTATAGAATTCTCTGCACCCTTGAATGAATTAAATGGTGGAATATAGTATTAAAAAAATAATTTTATTTTCGTGCTGTGCTCTTTATAGAATTCTCTGCACCCTTGAATGAATTAAATGGTGGAATATAGTATTAAAAATAATTTTATTTTCATGCTGTGCTCTTTATAGAATTCTCTATGTTCTAGCAAGCAGAGATTCAGTGTACTATACAAAAACTACAGTCCCAAGGATACAGTTGTTTCCCAGAAAAGGTGCAGTGGTTGCTCATGGAAAGTGTTTCCTTGTGTGGCATTTTTAGGTGAAGACTTCAAAAAGGTTCAGAAGGAGGTGGCTGAGATCCTGCAGGGAAGGATTTTAGTTGGACACGCCTTACGGAATGACCTGAAGGTACATTGAAAATAAAGTTTCTGATAAATCATTCTGGATCAAGGGGACACACCTGAGCTCCTGGAAACTCCTGAATCCAGCCTGGATGAGCTGGGTCTTGTCCTTTCATGGCTTTAAAATGTGTGGATGGGAGGAAACAACAGGCAGCTGCACATTCAGCTCTGTAAAGTTTCATGCAATAACACATTTTAGACTGAAAATCTGATTTCTTCTAGGTCCTACTTCTTGATCACCCTCACAAGAAGATCAGGGACACACAGAGATACAAACCTTTTAAACAGAGAGTCAAGGTAAGAGGCTGCTGGGAAGGTGCTCAATTAACAGACTCCAGAGCTGCTGACTCACTCCTGTGCTTGCTTTTACCTGACCCTGTTCCTTCTTTCCTACCTATGCACACACAAATCTCCTAATTCAGTAATTATTCCTGGTATTTCACCAGCAGAGGCTAAGATGTGCTATTCTTTGAGGAACATAACATTTTTATGTAACACCCATCTCTGTTATTTGAAGTCCTGTGAGACAGCATGGTTTATGATCTGTTCTGTCCCTAGAGTTCCAGGCCATCCCTGAAGCTGCTCTGTGAGAAGCTGCTCAATGTTCAGGTGCAGACAGCAGAGCACTGCTCGGTAGGTACCTGCTCAGAACATCCAGCTCTGGGCTCTGCTTCAGTCCACAGGGCTGTGCCTTCATCCCAGGGAAACTCAGCAAGCTCTGCTTGGACAGCAGCAGCTGTGGGACTGACATCTGAGCTTGCTCATTTCATAAACACTCATGTGTTTCATGAAATGAGTTCACTCGTTTCATAAACAACTGCACAAGTCAACTCTTAATTCTGAATTGTTACTTTAAAATTTCCAGGGGGAAAAGTAATGATCAAGATCTGTTTACCCTAAAAGCAGCATTCTGCACTGTGGCAGGATGGATAAAGAGTGGGAGAGGCTACACCTGAACCTCAGCAGATCCTTTATTTCAGTGGGCAGGAGGATGGAAAAGAGGAATGAACTGGGGAAGCAAAGCTGGGAGGGGAGCTCATAGATACTGTGTCAATGACAAAGTTCTCTTAGGACTTTCCAAGTAACAATGGGAAATGCAGAGCCTTGTGGTGGGCCCTGGACTCTACATACACCATTTATCCCTTTCACTAGGCACAGAGTCTAAATGTAAAAAGATAATGAAATGTTAGTTGGAAGGATGTCTTAAAGTGATGGAAGATTTAGCTGCTTATTATCTCACATCCTTGTCTGGTCTGTTCTCTTTCAGATCCAGGATGCACAAGCAGCTATGAGACTTTACACCCTGGAGAAAAAGAAATGGGAAGCTGCTGTTAAGAACAAAGCTAACAAGAAAAATTGTAAAACTTAAAAACCCAGGGCAGAATCTTTCACCTGCAGCATTTGCTGGTTTGATGTCACATTCCAAATTTAGAGATAAGTCAGAACTGACAGCAGCTACTTCATAAAATCATTCCAAAGACAATGCTGCAATAACCTGGAAGTGCAGGAATGCTGCTGGTATCCCTGTGGATGGGCCCTGTGCCTGATGCCTGCTGCTCTGCTCAAGCAACCTTTGTAACAAATGCCTGCAGCTGGGAAGAACTTCATCAATTAAATTTCTTCAATGGAAATAGACACTGAATAAGTTTAAAAAAAATTAAATTATGATAGATGAAGGAAGAAACTGTCATTGCTTTGTCAAAACTGAGGATTAAAATCTTTATTTCAAGTATGTTGAGGCCCATAAAGTGAGGTCTGCTGCAAGGTGAATTCTTAATTATTGCTGTTAGTTACACAGTTGTGGTACCCAAACCATCAATAAATACCTGTTTGTATATTATTAAAGCCCAATATTCTTTTTTTCTGGTGAGAACAGTCCTCTAATGGAGGATCCAGGCTTTTGTATCCAGCAGTGGCCAAGTCTTGTTCTTAGACAAAGCATTTTTCCTTCCTCAGTTTCAAAAGTGTTGCATCCACCAGGGTCCGAATCTCCTGGAGGGAAACGTGAGAATTGTCAGACAGAAGATTACCTTGTTGCTCCACTTATTTTTGTATTCATTTATTAATAAAAACAATGTGTCTAACATAAATCTTTGAAGTGCTGCTGTTACAACAGGAGAGGGAGCTTTCTCCCCTTCTGTGATTATTGTTTTCTGTGCTACCTTGTGGCTGCAGTGCTCATTGAAGGGGTGCAGGAGAACAGTTTGTGACTGTCTTTGAAAACAATTCTGTAAATGCATTACTAAAATCAGCAAAATTTAAGACTAACCAGTTCTGTTGGCTTGATGGACAAACCTAATTATTGGTTTCTTGCCAGCAAGCCATTGCAAAAGAAATACAAGTGTAACACATTAAATAGCTCTGATAACTTTGCTGGTTTTTCCTTTTGTTTCCCAGTGTGGCTGATTGGTGAAATTTAATGTAAGTTAAATCTTCCCACAGACTCAGAAAGTTTTTGTTGGGTTTTTTTTTTCATTTGTTAACAATGCTACTTCCAAACCAAAAATAAATTGGATGTAATATACTTATGGCTTTATTCCTGTAAACTTTAGCCTAATTTAGCATGAAGACTATAGTAAATTAATGTGATGTTGCAAGAGACCAGAACATAGTTCTTTAAAATTTCAGCATTAACAACAAGAAGAAAAACAACTTTCAACCACTTGTTCTCAGTAATTAGAAGTATCCTTACAAACTCACTCTTCATTCCACATGCAGCTAATTCTCTAAATTTCTGCACTATGATCAAATCCCTCACCAGAAATAATATACTAATCCACTTTATTATCACAGAGACTTCTCCGTACCGTGCTAAATGGAAACTGGAGTTTTATTTCAGACAGCAGCTTTTCCATTTTCTGGGACCTCATACTCAGCATAACCTCATCTGCAGTGCCAATGAACAAGAAAATTTATGGTTATAGCACAACTGCCAGTGGAGCAGGAGCTAAAGGAGCAGGCTAAAGGGGAAAGGACAGAGCTACACAAGGAGGAGGAAAGAGAAGATGAAGTTAAAATGTTTTACCATCAGAGTGGCATTTGTTTGGAACAAGTGAAGTGAATTCTCAGGAGGATGAATTGGAACTCTCTCAGACACAAAGCTTTTCCTGAGAGCAGCTAACATGTCCCTGAGAGCTGCTGTTGTGGTTTTACTGATTTTAGGGCTGGGAGAGAGGAGGAGACTTGACAAGTGGCAGCAGCAGCCATCTCACCATACTGAACCATCTCGTTCATCAGCAGGCACAGAGCTTCTGCCACCCCTGGCTCCTTGGAATGAAGGTGATATTCATCTTTGATCAGCTCTGTTCCACTGCCCTTGGAGTCCAGCAGAATTGCCAAAGCTGCAGTTTCTGCAAGGAAGACAAACACTGCTGGGCTCTTGGTAGCTGCAGACTGCAGGATCTGCTTCCCATCCCCTCACCAGCTGGCTCATGTCACGTTTTCAGGAAGTTGTGCCCGTTATTTTCAATCTTCCTAACAACTATTCTGAAGCATATTTGGGAACAAGTAGAAGACCAGATATGCAGCTGATGCTGTCATGCAGGGCAGAAGTGATTTTAGTGATTATTTTCATTTTGATGGAGCTGATTGGTAGTTAATAAAAGCAGAACTGCTGAATGTTACCTGAGAGCCTCACAAGGCTGGCTAATGCCAGGCAGCCATTCTTCACCAGCACTGCTCTTTCTGGGTTCACCCTGAGTGCCTCCAGCAAAAGTGCTGCTGTGGGCTCATAGTCACTGTCAGTTAAGCAACCTTAAAAAAAAAATAAACAAAACACAGAGAAAAGCCCAACATTTCAGTATCCTTCAGGCCAAAAAAATAAAAGAGTCCTGAATACTCAACTTACTCTACTGATGTGGAATAGAAATAAGATTGCTGAGGGTGTTTTGCTCAGCTTTTCCCAGTGGAACAATGGCACAAGGGCTGGCAGTAGGTAAATGTGACAATATTGTTGCATGAGGAAGAAATAGGACAGAGTAGTACTGCAGTAGTAGTAACTACTACTAGTAGTACTGCAAGGATGGGTTCCTTAGTGCAGATGATAATGAAAGATTATTTCTTTTTTAACAATACTTTTCCAAATCAACCAAGCAAATTAGCAGCCCACCAGTGGACTCTCCATTAGCAGTATCTGGTGATTTAATTGCTACAGCTCATCAAAAATGGCTTCATTAGGCAGTCACAGAGGGAGTGCAGGAAGAGCAGCCAAGAGAGGATGCAAGTTCCTAACTCTGCTGCCATCTGCAGAGCCTCTCCAGCCCAGCAGCCCGGGCTGCAGGATCACCACTGACACACAGACATCCCAGCCTTTTCCAGCCCAAGGGACAGCAGGGAGACTGGGATCACACACCTCGGAGCGCCAGTGCCCACAGCGCTGAGCAGGCAGACTCTGCAACCACTCCGTTCTGGAGGTGTTTCTGAAGCACTGCCGAGGTGACAGGGAGAGCACTTGCCAGCACTGCTTGGTCTGCATTATTCTCTGAATTACCTTAGCAGAAAGGAAATGCACCAGGCCGAGTTATTTAATGAAATAATGACATCATTGTATGTCAAATTATATCAGTAAAACCTTAATGGGTGCTGGCATTGGAATAATGCAACACTGCTTTAGTCTGGAGGGCAGCAGAGGGAAGGAATCTAAAATGTACAGAACCAAATACAGGACTAATAAATAATTCTGTTTGTTGGAGAAAGCTGAACTTCTGCAGGAACTAGTGTTCTTTGTCATTGAAATGATGCATAGGGATCACAGCAAGAAGCCTCCAGAAATAACCACAGTTTTGACAGAATCCAGGCTGCAGGATGGAAATTCAGCTGTCCCATAAATCCAACGGGTAATTTGCTGCACAGAGGGAATAAAACACACCAGGTGAAACTGTGCACAATCTGTGCTTCCAGCCTGGCATGATGATCAGAACACCACACACTTCCACAAGAACACATCACAAACAAATCAGTAAATGTGAAATCAGGTCACATCTGGGCCTGAACGGCTCAAATTTGACACCTTATCACATAAAGGGTTGCTAAAAAACTCTGCATTAATTTTTGGTTTTATCTAACTCTGGATCACAAAGTGATGGTAGCAGAGCTGTGGAAACAACTCTCCAGAATCACAAAATCAGATTGGTTTGGGTTGGAAGGAATCATTAAGATCATCTCATTCCATCTCCCTGGAAAAAGAATGGGAGAAAATCCAATCCCAGCGACAGGAATGTCTGAACTCAATTAGGCTCGATACCTGCTGCCCTTCAGTCACATGAGTGCAGGCACAAAACTCCTGTGTTCTACTCACCACTCACAGCCAAGCTCCAGAGAACGGCACAGCAAGAGAAGCAGATCTTGTCATTATGAAGAAAACGTCTCAAAATTGACAGGAGGTCCGGAATGATTCCAACTTTCCTTAGGTTCTCCGCAGCTACTTCTGAAAACCACAGAAATTCTATAGAATCTGGTGTTTTTGTCCCACTCACTGGCCTCGAAACGGGCAGCACTAAGTTGTTTAAACTGAGATAACAAAGCGGTAACATGAGCCCATCAGCTGGACAAAAGGAAGCAAGAGAACAGGCCGAATTCTTTAACAAGATGCACTTAACACATCTGATCCTTTCAAATGCATGCCTCGCCATCCTTTTTCCTCACAGACTTGGAATTCACAGAGCGGGGAAAGGAACTCGGAGGGTGTAAGTTACAATTTTTTATCTGTTTCCATTTTAACGATTCAAACTAAGCTTCAGAATTAGGAAACGCTGGATAAAAATAATTTGGTATTAGACACGACTCTTTGTAATAATTTTTTTGAAGATTTCCCCCTTGCTGCTAAATCCTACTGTAACCATTTCTAAAAACAGTCTGATGACTGTTGAACTGACACTGAAAACAAAAAGCTAAAAATATTATAAAAATTTAGCAAAAATAAAAAAAAATAAAGCTAAAAATATTATAAAAATTTAGCAATTACAAGTTCAGAAGAAAAGAAAACAAAGTAGAGAAGTTAGGGAGAATGGTTTGAATTCATCATGGCAGAGTCCAAAATAGAATTCAGGTTCTATGCCCTCATTTTCTCAAGCACTACTATTTGCAGAGCCTGTACTTGTTTCCAGACCAAGAGGAAATACAGAATTGTATCTATTAGGGTGGACCTGTAAATCCCTGAAGCCTCAACATTGTACCTTAAACTTTCAGGGGTGTTATCAATATCTGGTCAATCTTACCAATATCAGCACTATTAAATTAATAATTGCCCACAGACATGCACACCTCTTAGTGAAATCACAAGTTCTGCATTATATCTTGGATTTGTTTCAAAAAGTAAACATAAATTAAGATTCCCCAAAGAATGAGCAAGGTGACCCACCACTGGCTGAAACCATCATCAATAATGTGCAGAGCATTGAAAGGAACTCTTCATTTTCAGAACGTTGTCTCACTGTGTGTAACAGGCAGCTGGCCACACTCTCATCCAGGGCCATCACCACCCCCTGTTCCAGAGCTGTCACCACAAACACAGAATAGAACAAAGATTTCAGTGGTTTTGAACGAAATCTGAACCCCCTGCCCTGCAATCAGCATAGCAAAACATTCAAATTAGCAGCATTTCTTCACACAAAATAAGCAAAAGTTACTTTAAACTTTCATTTTCTGAAACTCAGTTCTTAGTATTTTTAAGCTCATATCATCAGGTGGTTTTGGGGTAAATTGCCATGAAAGTGACAGCAGGGACCACACAAGAGACTCAAAACCACTTTTATGGTTTAAAATTCAAACACCAAAACAACAAAAGTCTTATTTATGCCCTCTAGCAACCCTCCACATAGCATAAAAACAAACCTGGTTGGACAAGATCAGCATCTGTATTTAAAATTAACTCTTAACACAGAATTGCTGCATGGCAGTCCTGAAGGAAGGCCATGAGAATTCAGAAAGCTGCTTAAATTCCTTTACTTCTTTAAATTCATCCCCTAAAATTGTTAATTGAGCAGCTAATGGGTTCAGAAATCTTTACAAGACCCAGCAGAAGGAGGAAGTCTTAAAATTGTACCTTGGCTAAGAATTTCAAGCAATAAAGTGCAACCTTCCACTTGTAAATCCAGAGAATCTGTGTGAACCTTCATGGCAAGAGTGATCACTTCTGTGCACGTTAGCAGATAGGGGAATGCTGTGGGGGAAAAGAAATGCTTTGAGAAAGGTTCTTGAATCAAAGAGAACAAAACAGAGTGAATCGTTTTAATCTGTGTGGGAAATGTCTCCCATCAATTAAAGCTAAGAATAACCCTGAGTTTTAACATCATAAGCCAATGCCAGCATTAAAATGCTGTCAAAGCACAGAGTATTTTATAACTGATGTAACCCAGTGCTTTGAATTATGAACCTTGATCTGAAAGCTTCTTTTGAAAAATGTGCAGCTTCTGGAGAAAACACACAGTTCTCACCCTCACAGCTTTACAGACATGGGAATTAGCCATGTGTAGCTTC